GGGGGGGCAAAAAGTATATATAACACTCTCGGGGGCCGGGGGGGTCTAAAAGGGGTTTGGGGGGGTCTGGTTGCCGGCTTTGGGGGACAGCAGCATCCCGATTAAGCTCCCCCCTCTAAAAAAAAAAGACACCAAAAAACAAGAAATAAACTTGCTGAAACTGCCTAGCTTGACAGTTTCACGGCCGCGCTATTACTCCGGTTTCATTCATAAAAAAAATACCCAAGACAAAATAAAAAGACAAGACCCCCCCCCGCTTCAACCTCCCACCTCCAGTGGGCTTTCTATGAGGGAGGTGGAAGGGGAAAGACAGCGGGGTCTCTAGAAGTCACAAATAGCTCCATCACGGCTTATTTTATTGTATTTATTTATTATTATTATTATTGTTATTGTTATTTTTTTTTCCCGTGGGAGGAGTGTTGTGGTGGGGGTGCTGGGAGCCGTGACAGCGGCGCGACACGCGCGCAAAACGCGCAGCCGCCGCGCTGGGCTGAGGTCTGACTCATGGGGGAACTCTGCGAATCAAACCCTCCGCTCGCCTCGGTTTTCTCCTGCTTCTTCCTCTTTATTTATTTATTTATTTTTTCTTTTTCCCTCTGTTTTTCTTGCAGAAGCAGCGGATTTCTGCCGCGCGGTTGTGATTTAGAAGGAGCCGGACGGGCTGTAAGTAGGGGGGAAAGGATAATAATAATAATAAAAATAACACAAAAACAAACAGGCAAACCAAAATAGCAGAGAAAAAATAAACCAAAACAAAGCCCCCATCTCTACGCCGGTCAGACAGCAGGCGGTAAAAACATCAAGTTCTCGCAGAGTGGAGCTGTGCGCGTTTCTTTCCTTCTTTCCTTCTTTCTTTTCTTCTTTCTCTCTTTCTCTCTTTCTTTCTTGAGCTAAGAAAAAAAAAGAGAGAGAGAGAGAGAAAGAGAGAAAAACTCAACAGTCGGTTTGTTACTTTTTTTTTTTTTTTTTTTTTTTTTTTTTTTTTTTTCACAGCCCCGTGTGACTGAATAGGTGCCTTCAGCTAATTTTATGAAAAGGGGCTCTTTCCAAGGCTAAGGTAGAGTAGGGCTTCCTGTAAGAGAGAGAGAGGGGAAAAAAAAAAAGTTCAGCTCTTGATGCAATCTTCTCTTCCTCCTCCTTTTCCTCCTCCTCCTCCTTCCGGGAGGGGCGAGGGCGGGGGTAGCTGTAACCTCCCGCCCCGGGCAGGACCCCATTGGATTCCCCTATCCACCCTGTGACCGGCGGGCTGAGGAACCAGGGGGTGAGCCCTCCCACTCCATTCCACCCCCTTTCCCATCCCCTTATTCCCACCCGCTTTTTCCCACCTCTCTTTCCTTCCCATCTCCGACCCCCGCATGGGCAGCACATGCGTCTCCTAAATGGGGTGGGGGACTGGGATGCGGGCAGCACTGGAGATGGTGGGGGGAGCTTTTTTTGAGGCGGGAAGAACACACTTAAGAGAAGTGGCCAAAAAAATAGAGTTCCCCTCCCCCCTCCTCATGCACGAAATATTTGTAAGGATATTTCTGCATTATGGATGCAAACATTGGCACTGGAGCTGTTTATTGGGGAGGAGAGGGCAAAAAGGAGGATGGATTAATTTATTTTAAGAATGGTTCCTCAGGGGACCCTGGTGTGAGTGTTTTCACCTCTGTCCGGGTTTTGTTTTGGGGGGCTTGGCTCCCTTCTGCACTGGGCTAGAGGTATCGAGTGTGGGGGATCCTGTGCCCCCAGGGGAAGCCCCAGTATCTGTATGTGTTTAAATAGTGTATAGATGGAACAAATATTTTCTCAGGGCTCTGTAGTCTTTCTGAGATAAAAAACCATATATATATACACACACTCCATGTGCAGGGTGCGGGGTGCGGGACAGGACCAGGGATGCCTCTAGGCTGGTCTTTCTCCCCCCTCCTCTATATCTTTTAATGATTAAAGGCAGCTACCACCAAACCGCTGAAGCTGCACAAGAAGGAAATTGTTCCCTTCTTCCCTCTCTGGTTTATAGGCTGCCCAAGAAGCCTGGCAAGGAAATCTGACTCTCGCCATTTCTCGCTCTCATAGTCACCGTGACTGTGGGGCATGTTTTCCTCCATTTCCATTATCCTCAAGCAAAACAAACCCATGTCTCTGGAGGCCCTAGAGCCAATGCTGTCCTCTGGCCAAAGGTAGTAGTCAGGGCCCAATTCCTCTCCTTCTGACTATTCTCTTCTTGGCTATCCTAGGAGGATGGAAAGGGCAAGAGTTATGGCTCTTCTTTGAAGGAATGAGGCTTAGACACATTGCAGATGAACCTAAAGGTGGCTTTAGATACAGAGGGCCATACCCTATTGCGTCAAACCCCCTCAGTCCCCTTCCCTCTTTCAACTGCATCCTTGGAAGCCTGTGATGTTCAAAAGGGTGCACCAGAAGAAAAGGGGGAAATTGGTTTGTAATTATATGGATTGTAAATATTTAAGACAAGCTGGACCATGGTGAGCAGAGCAGGAAGAATGCAAAAGCATTTTTAAGGGCTCATCAAGGTTATGGAGCCATTCAGTTTAGTGAGAGTGCGTGGTGGTGCATGCTTTGAGAAGAAGATAAAGTTATGGAGGTGCTTCTGCCGTCTCTTCTCCTATACTGGCCAAGGGACCTGCAGCTCAGTGTTGTCTTCTGAGAATCCCCAAGATCCACGTGTTCCACAGTGTAACCATGAAGAGCTCCCTCCTTTTATTTGTGCTGGACTTGCAAGCGGCGAACTTGCATGATAACTTTCTAGTTTCTGTGCTGGAATAAAAAACACAAGGAGCAGCCAGTCCCTTATCACCCTCCTGGCCATTCAGGAGTCCACCGATTGCTGCTGTGTTGCTCCTCCATCATTTTCCATCCTTGTGAAAGTCCAGCTTGGTTCACTGTTGCTTATGCAGAAGTTATTCCCTTGTCTTAGATCACACTTTCTCTCTTCTTTCTCTAAGAATATGGATATAAAGAGTCTGAACACACTGCTATCCCCTGTCCGCCCTCCACGTCCGCATGTCACACACAACCTTTCCACCTCTGCCTTTGGTGGCTGCCTCTGTGGGTGGAGAGCAGGTCCCTGGGCTGTGCTAGACACCTACGCTTTGTTTAGTATTTCTTTTAGATTGTATCCATGTACCTGTATATAAAGAACTAAGAAGGAACGCAGCACTAAAAAAAACCTATGTATTGCATCTTTTTTAAGGAGCCATTGGGGATGATGGAGGTTGAATTCAGTTTCTCTGTTTTACATAAAAACTCCCCAAAACTTTTAGATTCTTCTACTGATACTTCTAGATATTTTACTTACATGCTTCATTTTAAAATATTTAAGGATTTGGCTAGAAATTATTTCTATTGTGAAGAGATCCTATCTTGTAACTAACATTCGCACAGTTTCATAATAAAATTCTTGTCTCCTTGGATTGTTTTTTTCTCAGCTGGGTGAATACTTCCTCTCTGCACGAGCTCAAGTCCCAACCTAGATGAAAAACCTCCGGCCCCTTCTCCCCTGGGTCACCCAGGTTAGGGTAAATATGCACTGCTGACACCACCGAAAGTCACTAATCACAGGAGGGGAAAGTCTGGCAAAAAAGGAGTTGGCAGCCACTCTTCAAAAATCCCACGTTGTGTAAGAAGCCCGTCCAATGATCGAATGTCACTGAAAGAGAGCTGGCCTTTCTTGTTCTGTTTCCATTTGCTATTGCTGGTGTTTTGTACGTAAAGTCAATGCCAAAGTAGACAAGAATGAGCTTTGGCCAAGTCAGGCTTGTGCAAGGGGCCAAATGATATGCACGGATTTGGGGCCATAATCATCACATGTGCTGCAAAAAAAAGAGTTTTGATGTCAATGCTTTTCTTTGACATGGGCAAAGAAGAGGAGGAGGAAAATGAAATGAATCCCTCAGGCCTTCTACTGTTTGTGCAAAGCTGGACTTGTACCTCTTGGCTGAGATGAATGTGAATAGGTTGTGTGGTGGCTTCTTTGCTGTCTCTCAAAGGAAACATCTGGTATGTGTCTTATGGAGAAATTCCACAGTGAAAAGCTCAATGAAAGAAAAATGAAAAGCCCTATGAAGGGCCTGAGGGTAAGTCCTTGGCCATTCCATTGATTTTGATTTTGATGCCTCAGATCAATTCCAGTGTAAGACTGGAGGGGTTTGACTGCGTTATTTTTTACCGTAAAGGAGTTTTACCATAGCAGACAACCCATATTGATGCAGCCAGTAGTTGCCATGGCTGGGACCTCAACATCCTTGCCATTGAGCAACTCTGCAATCTGGATGAGTGGAATGGATGAAGTTGTGGAGGATGAGATCATATCTCATATGAGATATATGAGAGATATACCTCTCATGAGAGATATGAGGTCATATCCTAGAGATGGTCTCAAGAAAAGGTGCACCCAAGAGGTACAAGAGGTAAATGTATTGAGGACATAATCAGAGATGTTGTTCTCACTCAGTAGGTATGCACATCTGAAGAGAGGGCTGCCTTTTTATCTAACAGTTTCCACTGCAGATGAAGTACTTGGCTTTGCATCAGACTTTGTATCAGGCTTTGCATCAGAGGATCTGATAGAGAGAGGAAGATATGCTCCTCTTGCTGTTTGCTCTTCTTGACATAGGGCTGACCCGAGCTGATGATGTGAACCTGGCCTGATGCTGTTGAACTGAGATCTGAGCCTGGACTCTGTGGAATGATTGACCAGTTCCCAGAGCTCCCAACTTCGTTGTTGAAAACAAAATCCCTCTGTACTGGAGTGCAGGAGTCACAAGCTTCAACGTCAGCTGAAGACATGCTGGTCGGCAGTAGTGCTGGGCCAAGGTCCACAGGACAGCATGGGGAAATGAAGCTATAACTTACACCAGTCTACACTGATCCCTCAACCTCAGTGTTGGGTAGAAATCACCAGCCTGTCTTCTCCTGGTCCTTCACAGTTTGGCTCTAGGGACAAAGTGGTGGATAGGTGAGCCTACCCTCAGGAACAGACTAAGCACAGCAAGCCCATCTCTTCACCAGGTGGGATTCTCCGTGTCAGGAACTGATCTCCAGTTCGTCTACCACAGCTCACTCTCCCCTGCAGAGCAGCAACCAATGTCACCTTGGGCTTGTTCTCTTTTCATCCTTCCTACAAAGGGTCTTTTGTGGTTTACCTTCTTTTGAAACAACATCCTGAGCTGAGAGAGGTGTTTCTGCAAACTTTACATGTGGTTACCCTGCCTGTTGTTCATCGCATTTTAGCTGTTAGAACAATTTCTGCACATCACTGAACAATCTCATTCTCACACTAGGGCAGACGTGCATGTCTCAATGTATGCTTTCCTCCACGTTTCACCCCATTTTTTTCCCCATATTTCCCTCCTTCGCCAGGTTTGTGGTAGATTCATGATATCTCTGGCTGCATATCCGTGTTGTAATCATTCTGTCCTTTTGCCCCCACCCTGCATTGCCATCCAAAGCATGATCAGAATCGAGGACAACCTGACTTCAGAAGCAAGCAAGAAAAACCCCACTAAGAGTGCCAGGGCCCGAAACAATTTGGCAAGCTTTACAGAAACAAACTGCCAGTGTGGAACGATGAGATGGGAGCATTACTTCAACAAGAGAAGCTCTGATTAGCAGATTATCACTTAAGTGATGTTGATCCCAGCCACGCTGCCTTCCAAATGAGCCCTTTTGCAGCTGCCAGCTGCACCATGGAGTCATGCATGTAAATAAATGGGGCCAGATCCTTTGCTGGCATCGTTAGAGGCAGCTTTGATGGACCGTCCTTGAGTTACAGCAGCTGGAGAAGTCTGGCTGTAACGGGAACATCACTCATTTCTTGGGCTCTTTCAAGAGCTCCGGGGCGAGATGTCTTAAAACAGTCTGTGCATTGCAAAGGGGGACAGCTTCTCACAATCCCATGGCATTAAAACCATAGCAGGTCGCAGCTGCAGGGACTCTGCAAAATTTGGTTGTGTCCGATTGCTACGGACAAGACTGGCTTTGTGTGTGATAGCTAGGTTTTATTCCAGATACGAGATAGAGCTCACAGACTTGGCAGTGGGCAGTGTAACGTGCCCCAAGCCAGTAGAAACCAGTGTGCAAAAGGCTGGCAGAAGCTGCAGTTGCTTTATCATTAGCCTCAGGAAAGAGCCTTGCTGAGCCAGAGAGGAGAATGGAGAGGGATATATATATATATATAAATATATATTATTAAATATATATAATATATATTTAATATACCTATATCTATATAGAAATATTAATACATATAAATAATATATAAAAATATTATATAACATATAATAAAATAAAACAATGTAATGTAATGTAATGTAATGTATATATATATAATGTAATTACATATATATAATATATAATATATAATAATAATGTATAATATATTATATATATACATACATACATATATATATACACATACATATATACATATATATATATATATACTGTTCCTGAGTTTGTAACCTGCTTCCTGGGGCCATAAATCAGTATATAGCATCTTGCTCTCATAAAGCTCTATTTATGTCTGCAGGGCTTCCTAGGCTGAATGCATCCACGGAGCACGTGAGGGACACGCATGAGCCCGCCTTGCAGTCTCAGTGCCATGCTGGCGCCCCAGGCTGAGCTTTTCCCTGAGTTCACAGTCCGCTTCAGCCCTGATAAGCGTCCAAAGGTGATAGCTTGAAAGCTGCAGGGCCAGTGGAGAGGATGACAAATGTCTCTTTGTGAGGTTTTGCTAGGTGGTTGCTGCTTGCAACGTAAACCCATGACTCACCTGGATGCAGGTGCTGAAGTATATGTGTATGTGCATGCAGGGTGTGTGTTTGCAGCGGTAAAGAAGGCCTGTGTGTTTCCACCTCAATGACGATGCGTTCTGTAGAAAGAAGGTAGTGTGTGGAGAAGGGTCAGGGAAGTCATATATACCTGATGCATGACTTAGAACATATGGCACACAAGGAATTTCTCAAAGGGACTGAGGGTGGCTACATTTCTCTAAAATCCACTGTTAAACCCAGCTTTGCCTTAATGTAAGGGTATTGTGGGGAATATAGGGAACTTGAATTTGAAGCTCAACCAACCTCAGCTTTCTTCCATTTTTTTTTTCTCTCTGCTTTAGATCTCACGCTTCCTCCTTTAGGATGGAAGGACGGATATAAACTCAGCTGCAGGCACGGACATCTCCTGGAGCTGATGTTGTCTCTGTGCGCACTGCACTGAATTAAATGTCATTTAGTTCCCCAGGCAATGTAAGAAGGTCTTCAACCTTCAACCTTTGTCCTGCATAGGATTGCAGCCCATTTCTGGAGAACTCTGACCACGCGTGTCTGCGACTTCAAGCCTTGGTAATTTTTAGGCTATTGGGTTGAATGCTGGTTTGTCAGCATAACCTTGCTGTAGACTTGGACTTTTTGACCTAGAAAAGAGGTTACTGAAGAAGTAGAATGTGACAGATAGGAGAAGGCTCTGTGCAAATCATGGAGAAGGAAGTTGGGAAGTGGTTCTTCAGTATCCCTCTTGGAAAACCTGGAGGTGGAGAGCTTTTCCAGCAGCAGTCTACAGGACATCTGTCCCATTCCTTCTAGTTATAGAAACACTCTAGCTTTACCTTTCTCCTCTTTCCTTGTATTTGGGCAGGATTAATTTCAACAGTCAACTCACCTGGCTTTTGTTTCCAGCTTCATACCTTTTTTTTTTTTTTTTTTTTTTTTTTCCCCATGCATAAAGAAAAGGCTTCTCTTGTCTTCTAATCCATACAAGCCCTCCTATATTAAAATGAATAGCTTCTAAAAGTAATCTCTAGCAGATGCTTACAGTGAATTTCAAAAAAACCCGAAAAACTTGGGTAGCTTAAAAAAAAAATAGTAACAGCATTTATATATTAGAAGGAATACAATAAAATCAAGCCTGTCCCTGAAGAAGTGAATATAAATTCCTTCCTTCTCTGTGATTTATTGATGCTCCATATCCCTATTTTATATTTAATTGGAAATGAGAAACTAAAACACAGAAGAAACCAACTGTTTGGGATCATTTTTTTAAACATAAATTACACAGTAAAATTGCTGCAAGTTTTAATGAGAAGTCTCATGTATATATACATATGGATATACATATATTTGTCTTGGGGATCAGGAGGGAGTAAAATACAGTTAGGTAAAAAAATACACCAAGAAATTAGATATGGGCAATAGCTGGCCATGATATGATTGCCCATTGAGTACTAATGAATCAGCTAAACCAGTTTGTTTACTGTAAATAATTCTAGTTATAGGAACTTGGGGAAGGAAATAAAATCTCAGCCAAGAAGCCAAGAAGAGGGATACAGAAATAAACCACCTGTCTTCATATGATGCACTATGATGGTGATGAAGAAGAAGGTTTGTCAAGAACAAATCATGTTAAAACACTGTCTTAAATTTTGACTTGGGGGTAAGGAAGTAATGAGAGAATGTGTTATGTCTTGGTTTTGACTAAGAATTTGGCACTATCTTAGAAACTGTTAAGAAAATTAAGAAATTAAGAAAATATATATGTTAGGATTGATCTTCTCTACATTAAATGAATGTTAGGTACCAAATCTCAGGCATTCATCCTGATATAAATCAAGCTTTTTCCACAGGGCAATTCATCTCACTCATCTTAAATATCTGTCTTATAATGGGACAAATTAAGTCCTGCAGGTGCCCATTTATCTGCTCTGACTATAACAAAAGACTAAATTTACTAAGTCAGGATGTTTCACATCTTTTACATACCCAGCTTAGGGCATATGACTCTTACTCAAGAGTCTAAATCAGTGGTAGATCTTTAATTTATGTCTTCTTAAATATTTCACTCTGGAGGAAGACAAGAAGGAAGAATAAATAGTCGTCTTGGGATGTGGAGCATTTAACATTCTCCTTAATAACTTCAACATTTAAGAAATAAGTATTACACTAAGTTTGGAAAGGGAGGACTGGAAAGAGAATTCATAATAATACTGATGTTGTAAAAGGATGGCTCTGGAGCAACAGGAAAATGGTATATAAGAAAAAAAAAACACATAGCAATAGGGAATTAGGGTCATCTAATGTACTTTGCAATGAAACAATATGGGCATATGAGAAAGGAAAGAAAAAAAAATTTTAATAGGGCAGCAATCTGCTAAACATCAGGTAAGAAATTGCAGCAAAGTAAAGGACTCTACCTCAGATTTGTGACTGTAAGCTTCATGCTTATGTCTGAAGACTGTCTTTGTTCTTTGCAATAGGAATTTCCACTAGCTGGGTCCTAAAACTGTGCAGAATTATATAATTTAAGCTTTCAGTAAATAGCTCCTTTTCCTCCTTTCCTCCCCTCCCACTCTTCCTTCCTTCCTCTCAGTAACCTTATTATATCTTATTCTTACTAAAACAATATCCCTGTGTCCCTTTGTTCCGTGCTGGAACCTGATGAGACCCTATGATGTCTAAGACACTACCATTACTTCACTGTTCAGTTCCTGAGCGAGGAGGCTATCTAGAAATAAAAGTATAGAGCAACTTAGAGAATAGCTAGACCCTGACACTCATTGTACTTTTGGGGTTCTTTCTTTCTTTCTTTTATTTTTTATTTTTTTGGCAATTTCTTTTTTTTTTTTTTTAATTCAAAACTGTTGCTACTAAAATTTAAAGCATGATAAGAGATCCCTTATGGAACTTATATCAACTTATATCCTTTTCTACTTGAGCTTCATAGAAGTATGCTATGTAGTTTAAGTGCCCAAGCTTATCTCAGGTGCACAGAAGCTTCCCAAGGACAATTCTTAGACACTTAAGACGTGTAAATCAGCCCGTGAAGCTCTGATATTGTTCCAGGGATTAGAGAGAGAAGTTAAAGCTATGGTTTCACTGGTTCATTTTACTTGACAGCTTGTGAGTATGAGAAAAAATGGACTAAATAGAAATAAAATAAAATAGAAATCAAGTCTGTGATGACTGTGGAGGGAGCCCTGAGTGACCAGCTCATATGTAGACAACTCATATGTAGAGTAGCTCATATGTAGACAGCTCATATGTAGACAACTGCACTATAAATTTTTATGCTTAGCCCATGGATTCCTGCTCCTTGGAAAGATGGAAGTTTGGGTGACCTTGTCAAACTAGCAGCAGCTCATCCTATACTGAGATGAGTCAACTTTTGGAAATACCTTTGACCCATCCTCCCATTGAACCAAGTTCCGAGATGACTCAGTTAAACTAGACCAGTTACCTAAGAACAAGTGGTGGTGCAGATCAGGAATGGAAATGTAGCCTTCTGGATTTCCACAGAGTAAATAGACTAGACAAAGCTCTGCATGATCAGTTTTATTAAAGCTACCTTCTCCATCTGGAAACTCCCATTCACCTTATGGCTTCCTGTCTGTTCTGTATTTAGGGCAGTATCACAGTGGTTTTTTTTTTTTTTTTTTTTTTTTTTTTTTTTTTTTNATTAAAGATCTAGTTATCCTTCTAAGATAGAGAGGCAGATAGAAAATTGGTTCATCTCATACTCTTTTATTGTCTTCTAACTGGGAAAGTTAGAACTGTGGTGGATGAACAAGTTACTGGGCTTCTTTAGCCAAAATAAATATTAACATCACAAAATCATTATGTTACACGTTATTTGGAAATGTTTAAATTGAAAAAGCTGGCAGTCTAAAAGTGTGGACTTCTTTCTGCTTGTTCTACTTGTGTTGACACACACCTGTGGGCTGGGTAGGAGTTTCCAAAGGAGAAGTTTCATGGGTTTCCTAGGACCTATCTGGTCTTTCTAGGACTACAAATGGCTTGGGAAGCATCTGCTGGACAGCTCTGCAAGCATTTTTTTTTTTTTTTTTTTTTTTTTTATTGAGACAGCAGTTTATTTCTCAGCTGAATTACTACATCAGAACATCCTGATCCATTTGTCTATTATTCCTTTTAGTTGTTCTTATCATTTCAAGCCAGGCTTAGTAAAAGTGAGTTCCTCCAAAAACAAGCAGAACCTCCAAAACCCCATCCCTACCACCAATATATTCCTTTATTGCATTTATAGCTTTTCCATTTGTGCTTGAGGAGTTATTTTCACACCACTCATAACTTAGTTCAAGGAGGAACCTGAAGCGGGGACCTGTTAGCACTTAATGCACAGAAACAGGGGGAAATATTATAAATCTTGTGGAGAACGTACGGGCTTTCTCATAACCTGCATTACTAATCCAAGCTTCTTTCCTGCAGTGGAAATAACTCTCTGTGTGTCTTTGTGTGTCTGTGTGTGCCTGTGCACTTACCTGTGCACTTTTTCATATTTTTATTATTTTAAAATATGTTTCTCTATATATATCTTCACATATATATGTTGCATATATACACATTCTGCACAAGAAGAAGGCAAAGATGAGTTGCATTTTTTTGTAAGAATCAAAGAAAAATCTGTTTTGAACAGTAAATGACAGCCTGGAGAGGACTGTATGTTAAATCTTTGTTCTTTCCTTTGTTAAAACATAGATTTGGAACTCAGCGTCTCGTGTGAGTGCCTTGATCAGCTATATTAGGAGCTCAGCTCACTGATCCTGAGCAAAAACACCCTCTCGATCCAACAGGACTTTCCCCAAATAAAATTCCATTAATACACTTGCATCAGCTTTTTCCATTTCAAAAGAGTAACTTCTTTTTTTTTTTTTTTTTTTTTTTAAACAAAGAAACTCTAAATGCCTTACTAGAAAAGTTCCAAAACATTTGGAACTTTCAGTCTTCCAGGAACAGTTCCAGTCATTTGCCCATAGTAGCCTACAAGCTTAAAATATATCATCTTAAAATATATCGTCTGTACTGTAAAAGAAGGCAAGAATTCTCTGATCTTCAGTGGATATGAGAAATAGTTAATTATCAATTAAAAGGGTAAGATTTTACCAACAAAGTATGCTTACTGGCAAAAGAGTTTTCTTTAAAATGGGATTCTGAGAGTTAATGACCACTTCTGATTGTCCTTTGAGCCTTTTTTTTTTTAAGTTTCTCACTACTTGTAAAAGCCTTTGCTAAAAATAATCAAATATCAGAACATTTTCTGCATGTGTTTGTAGGTTGAAAATACACTTTAATAAAGATGTAGGCTTTTTTCTTTCCATTTAAAGGAAATGGAAGCACTACAAGGTAACTCAGGCGAAATAGAAAATAGATTTTCCAC